CTCTGGTGAGACACCACCTGCAGTGCTGCATTCAGCTCTGGAATCTTAGACCCCATCTGGAACACGGTGCTCAGCCCCAGGGCCCCCAGTACAAGACGTGGACCTGTCGGATTGAGCCCAAAGGAGGGCCACAAAGATGATCAGAGGGATGAACACCTCTGCTATGACGACAGGCTGAGAGAGTTGGGTTGTTCAGCCTGGAGAAGAGAAGGCTCCTGGGAGACCTTTTAATACTTAAAGGGGGCTTGTAAGAAAGATGGGGACAAATGTTTTAGAGATAGGACAAGGGGTAACAGTTTTAAAATAAAGGGGAGAATTTAGACTAGATATTAGGAAGAAGTTGTTGACTGTGAGGGTAGTGACACACTGGAACAGGTTGCCCAGAGACGCTATAGAGCCCCCTCCCTGGCAGTGTTCAAGGCCAGGTTGCATGGGGCTTTGAGCAACCTGGTCTTGTGGAAGGTGTCCCTGCTGATGGCAGGGGGGTTGGAACTAGAAAATGTTTAAGGTCCCTTCCAACCCAAATCATTCTGTCATTCTATGAAAGGCACTAAATCACATTGTATTAAAAGATATCAGGAGGCTCATCTAGATATTTCTCTATTTGAGAGTGGAGACAGAGATGAAACTGATCCAGAATTAGGAAGAGGAATTGAACCATACAAAAAAGGGACTACAAGGATGTTAGATAAAGGCCCTGGAAAGTGGTTACTATTTTAAGTTACTGACCACTCAGTAACTTAATGAGTTTAATTCATAATAAGAAAAGTAGTATTACAATCAAAATGCCTTTTGTACATGAAAATACTAGCACAAAGTATGCATTACAAGGTGGATCGCTTAGCTGCTGACTTGGTTGCTGAGATCAAAATGAATGTGGGACCCATCTCTTCACTCCCTTGACAGTGAACTTATTCATCTACAAACTTAAGTCATCACAGTGGTCTTTGGATTGCTCCACTTGTTTGACCTTTGCTGTTAGTCTTATGAAGTGGACAGGTGATGACTCAGCATCTACTGCCTTTGTTTCTTTTAAAGCATTTGAAGGACAACGGTCCGAAACAAGCATGACAAAATTTTGAGTATCACTTTTTTTAATTGATAACACTTACAGAATACTTTTAATACTCCATTTAGCAGAAAAAGTCTGTATGAAGTCAACTTGTATAGCATGGGTTGTATACGGTGGTGCAGAAAGCCATTAATTCATACTATGAGCTTTCAAACTATCGTTTCCTGCTGTAGAGAGATATCTCATCATTCCTGAAATACTTGGCATTGAATATAATGTGTTTTGCTGGATAATTACTAGTCATCTTTGTTATATAACCCTAGTCTCCTGCAATTTATCACGGCACCCTTTTTTGTAAGCTCACAGCAGCCTATCATCTTCCCAAACATATTTTCCACTGCAAAATTTCATAGCAATCTCCCAGACAGTTCTTTCAAGAAAGAGTACTGGACACACTCTCAAGTCTTCCTTTATTTGATGACTAAATGAACCAACTTTCCTAATGAACTAAATCACATAGGCTGACCACTGTAGTTG